ATTGGCTAGGCTACAGCAGGACACTCAACTGCTTTTAATGACTTTCATTACTCCCTCTTATTTTCTGGGTTAATGACATATTGAAAGTGCTAATGGCATAAAATTTTCAAATAGCTCGCACACTGTTCGTGAAAGAGGCAGTATATTTTACTTTATATGCATATAATTTTTTCCTAGTGGATTAACTGCAACATTTTGCGGCTGTGTAATTTCTCAATTTAATTGAGGAGCGAAAAAAAAAAGTACAAAATCACTGTGTTTCAATGTGAAGTTGTGCTTATAAAAGAGGTCTCATTCCATGCCCTGCCCCACGACTTCAGGCAATGTCACACAAGCCGGAAAAGCAATTGCGGGGAACCATAGGCTTCAATCTTCTCATACATTTATTTTTAAAATCTGTGACATATAATCCAAAACTTGAAGACTGACTAATTTTGGTATACACAGGACCAGAAACAGTGCAAAATTAAATTAAATGTGGGCATCAAATATTTTTACCTTGAATTTCCAATTTTACCATTCTAAGTACAAATTGACAAAGGAATATTTAATTAAATTAGGTTATAAAATACAAAAAAGTGGTCATTTCATTTTTATAATTTCATGTAACTTCTATGAGGAACAAATGGTATCATTCATGAGTAAATCACTTTAGATCATATATTCTGAACATTTTCTTTCATGAGACAAAATGCATTAATACAGCCATAGTAGAGCATTGTCATCACGTCATGGCAAGAATAAATGTATCTTTTAAAGCTAGTATCTTAGAAACATGAGCTTTGTCAGCTGAGTTTTAGGTCAAGATATAACTCAGCTTTAGGATCCCATTATCTGGCTTTAGTAGTGATTGAATGTTAACTCTAATGCCTTACATGAGTTCTCTTAAAAATGTTGTAGGTGATGCTATCTACCAGTCTTTAGTTAAAGAAGGGATATTAAATAAAAGGTAATGAGAGAAGACCATCAGGGCTGGAAAAAAAGAGGGAACAGGGATGTGGTCTGTGCTAGGGTTCAGACCCTTACTTCCTAGTACATTGTATTTCTCTGAAGAAACATAGAGGTAGTGTAATTTTTGCTACAATAATTAACCTCTTGCAACCCATCACGTTATCAGTAATTAGTCTTGAATGTCAGATCACTATGTCCTTTCTCCACAGGGGAAAGGAAGAAAATTGATGAAACATATTTATCTATGTTTATTTTATATGCATGGGTTTTGTCTGCATGTACATATGTGTAACCATATGTCCACAGTGTCTACAGAACCCAGAAAATAACACTGGATGCTTTGGGACTGGAATGAGAGGCAGTTGTGAGCCATCATATGGATGCCAGAAACAAAACTTAGCTCCTCTTCAAGAGCTCCTAACTTATCTGCCAATCAATGTAGACCCAATGGAGGAAAGAACTATGGGAGAGAAAGCATGGTGCTGAAAGTTAGTGACAACTACTGTGTATCTGCTAAGAAGGTCAATCAAATTGCTTGTAATATCTCATTTTCCAGGTATTCATGCTTTTTAAAGAAGCATTGTTGGAGTTGAGGAAGAGGGTTCCTTAAATATAGTGTTGATGTATTATGGCTGATTTTATTTATCACTGTGGGAATAAATTCTAGAATAGTAGTTCTCAACCTGTGGATGGTGACTCTTTAAAGGTCTTGCCTGATAATTCTTAACAGTAGAAAAATTACAGTTATGAAGTAGTAACAACACAATTTTATAATTGAAGATCACCAAATCTGAGGGACCGTATTAAAGCATCACATCCTTAGGAATGTTGAAAACCACTGGTCTAGAATAAGTAAGAAAGAAAACTCAATCAGAGACTATGTTAGGTTGGTTTGCTACAATGCCTGTGAGGATTGTCATGAATGCAACAATTGAATTTGGAAGGACACACCTACTCTGGGTAATGTTATTCCCTAGGTTTGAGAGGTTTGCATTCCTGGAGAGTATAAGATAGAAAGCAAACAGATAACTACCATGAGTGCATCAGCCTATTGCTTTCTGTTTGTGGCTGTGACAAAGCATGACTATATCTCTCAACTTTCTCCCACTGTGACTTCCTAGCTATGACAGAATATTATATAAACGTGTGAACCAAACACTCTTTCTTTTTTAGGCTACATTCAAAAGGATATTTTATCATAGCAAGAAGAAGAAAAACCTAGACACCATGTAAGCATGAAGACCTGAGTTTAGATCTCCAGCATAATACACACATATACACACACACAAACACACACACACACACACATACACACACACACATTGAAGTATTTCTTTGATGAATCTTGATGTTGGTCATGGTCAATCTCCCTCTGTCTCCTTTTTAAAGATATTCACCCTTTATGTCTAGTAGAAATAAAAAATATCATCTTAAGAAAATTTTTATTCCTTCCAGCCTCACTTTTATTGCTCATTTTCTTTAATTAATAATTGACATATTTTCTGGAAAGTGCACAGAAAGCACACACATACACACACACACATACATACATATTGTTTTCTTCAAAGTATAAACTTTGTTTCACTCTATCAACTAAAAGGTTTTTAATAATAGTTCCTAAACTGACAAGACTCAGTGAGCTTAATGTTCTTGTGGTGGTCTTGCTTATGGTCATATTTCACTGAAATAAGAGCCTGGCACACTTTAAACTTAATTATCTTATGCTTAATTAACAAACTCAATTGTAGAAACTGCTCAAAAATTAATACTTGAAATTTGTTCATTTTTTACAGTGATTCTCAAAAATATCTATATCATCAAATATGAAGGAAAAAAACTACAGAAATAAAGTGTTGTTCTTTTATTTATTTGTTTGAGATTTTTGAATTATATCAAGAATAGTATAAATATTTCCTCTGATACTTAACTCTTTTTACTATGATAATTTAATTATATAAATTCTAGAAGCATTCCTTGATGCATATCTCAGCTTCCTTTACTAATCAGAGTATAATTTTCTACTTAAGGCCTCTCAGGGGATGCTAAATGATAAACAGAAGGATTCATTAGTAAGCTACTGTATTGTGCTTTGAACACAGAAGCATATGTTTATGATTCTGTGGAAAATACACTGAAAATGCAATACGATACTTTCTTTTGGTCTTTTAAAATAAAACCTATAATTCACAGAAAGAGGTTTTGCTTTTGAAATTGCATATCAGGAAGCTGTCCTTCATCCTAATGTTGGCATGTTTGATGTACAAAAACAGAACATGGAGTTTAGACTTCCTGTTGATCTGCTATTATTTCACTTCATCTTCTCAGGAGAAAACTGTCTTGAAAATCTAGGCAAAAAGACAAATGTCTTTTTCACAGACAGATGTATGAGTGTGATATTTCCAGCCCTAAGCATATACAAGGTGTGGTGACAATAAACCAAGAACAGAAAGTGGAATTGCCTTCCACTAAGAAACACTGCACACATTTAAACACGAAAGATCATCTTTTGATATCTATCCTGTAATTGCAAATGTGTAAATACCCACAACATCACCTTTGAAAATATTTTCCGTAGAGCCATTCCTGTGGAAAATAAATGAAATTAAGTTGATTGAGCACTAGGAAATTCAATCCTAGACAGAAACTGTCAGGCTGTTCTCATCCATCTTGGCAACAAGGATATCAATCATTGTTTCTGCCCTGCCTCCAGTCACAGGTTTCTTACTCCCAGCTGTGTGTGGTAGAACTGTTAAAGGATTGAGTTCTCTCTGCCTTTCTCCTGTTTTATTCTTCAATCCCTCTAAAGTTTCTGTTGAGATAAGGGAAAAAATGTGTTAACCATAATGAACAGTCTTTGGAAACTTAGAAGCAAAAGTGCTTGAACATGCAGTGAGCCACCCCTATTACTTCTTACACAGCGAACTCCTACGAATAAGAATGTAGTTTTAATATACATATATCAGACACTATGTTTCTTGATTTACACTTCTTAAACATAAATCTGTTTTGCTTTCTGTAATAGGTACATTTTTAATTGGATATTTTATTTATTTACATTTTAGATGCCACCCCCTTTCCCCATTTCCACTCCCTAGAAACCCCCTATCCCATCCCCCTCCTCCTTTTTGCTTTTATACCATTTTAATTACATGCAAGTATTAAGGTCAGTTCTAGTTTGAGGAACTAGCAATACAATAGATGTGAATAGTCAAGGAACAATACTGCTGATAAAATTACCCATGGCCGGTTGTCAGTATTTCTATTTTGGTCAACCTTCAAGGATAGCATATATAGCTTGATCATACTAGCCCTTTTTGTGCAGGGACTAGGCTCATTCTCTAAAGCTAGAAAACCCTGAGAAAGAAGCATGGCCTATGTAGTTTTCATCCTATTCCTTTCTTGCCCTCTCATGATTAGATTATTCTCTGAGGACTCTTGCATTATGTCACCAGAATTCCATCACACATCTTCCCTCCCGGCTCCACATTAGGATTCTTACCTCTCCTCTGACACTTTCTACTTAAATAACCTACAGGAGTGGACACACACACACACACACACACACACATACACACATACACACAAACACAGATACACACACACAGATACACACACATACACACACAGATACACACACACAGATACACACACATACACACACACATACATACACACATACACACACACAGATACACACACACAGATACACACACACATACACACACACACAGATACACACACACACACACACACACACACTTAATCAAGATTCCTCACATATAGCAAAGGTGTGAGATTTGCTTCTTTGAATGTCCTTCCTTTCATGTATTATATAGAGTAAACTCCAGTTATTTCCACTTTCCTATAAAATGTCAAAATTTAGTATCTTTCTGTAACCATAAAAAGATGGATTGTATGTCATCACATTTCACTTTTAAATTTATATTTATATATTTATCTTGTAGGGTGCAAACATGGAATATACAGACAGAATATGAAGACAGAATACGGCTTATTGGAGTTTGTTCTATCTTTCACTATATAGGATCTTGGGGAACGAACTCAGGTTGCTTGGTAGCAACTGCATTTACATGCTATGCTATCCTGATGATCAATACCACACTCATTGTTTATCCAGTTTATTGCTCTAAAATATCAAGGCTGATTGTAATCCTTATCTTTCTTATCTAATGTGAGTACTGAAGCAAACAGGATCACGAGAGAATGTCTGTGGCATGTTGACTTAGAGATTTTCAGTTGTATATCAGAGAGTGGAATAGATAATTTTTCTATTTTTCTCTGTTAGAGTTTTTTTTAATTCTATAAAAATGTCACAGTTGTTTGGATGGCAATTGTGTTGATAATGAAGATTTTATTGATATACTGTTGTCACATTAATTCTACAAATTCATGATTATTAGAAGACTTTCTATCATGTATTGACTCTTTAATCTCTTCATTTACTATCTTAAAAATTTCATTGCAAATATCTTTCCATATATATATATATTTATTGTCCAGCAGGACATTAAACAGGGGTCCGGGGAGGTCACCTGAAAGAGAGCGGGGGAAGCAGACAAAGACGCAAGGAAGTGATGACCTGTCTATAATCTGATAAGATCGTCATTTTTACTTTTCCACACACAGGTTATATACACAAAAAGGCAGGATGTGGGGAAGGGAATGACGCAGGAGTGTGGGTGTTCAGAGGGAGTACAGATATCTTCCAGAACAGAGTGTCACCTGGGTGAAGGTTCAGGGGACAGACCACTATGACTCTGCCTATGATTCACTTGTCTTTATCTAAGGTGGTACTATTCACCAAGGTGACCTCTCTACAAGGCCTATGAGTAGCCAGGCTTGGCAGCCTTCCACCAAACCTGCCTGTTTACAATAACTTCCAGCTATCTGTTTCAGTGTTTTTCCACAGAGACCCAAGACTTGGTGCTAGCAGGCATGTATGTCAGGCCTATTGCTGATTTTATACCTTCAGTGTATAAGCAAGGCTGCCCCTGACACACACACACACACACACACACACACACACACACACACACACATATATATATATATATATATATATATATGCACTGCACCTAGAATTTTATGTTATATTATGGAAGTTTTATTTGAATATTATGGAAGTTTATTTGAGTTGTTGTTGAGTGCATAAATAAATTTTAACTGTGCAGAGCATTACTGATATATAGAAAATATACTAATTTTCATATGTTTCGAGTTTCTATCCTATTTCACTGAAAGTGAATATGAGTTCTAAGTGTTTTCTGGTGCACTCTTTATAATCTGTTGATGGTAGATTATGTTATTGTGTTATCTGTACATACAGGTAATTTAACTTTTTCTTTTCTCTTTGTGGTTGTTTTCAAACTGGATAACTCTCTATATTGCTGCATTATTCACTTCTATGATGTTATGTAATATGTATTATTCTTACTTGCTATTGCAAGTTTCCTATCCAGAACAATTGTCTTTATAATCATTAATTTATAACATGCCATTAAAATAATCACATTAATTACATACAATTTTTAGACATATATTGTGTTTAGAATGCATGTGAAAGATAATAGTTTGCCATAACAAATCAAGTGCTTTATTGCTAAAGAAAACTACTTCAATCATACGTTTATTTTTGTCCATTTTAATTGCAGAGCAAACATTAAGAAAATAACACACAAAATATGCTTTTTAAATAAACCTCTGTTAAAGAATTGTACACATTCAACACGTCCATTACAAGTTTTTCTACATCACAATTCATTATGAAAATAAACCTTACAACAAAAATATAGCAATTTTTAAATATCCTAATGGCTAAAAAATACAATAGCCATGAAGACAATGACACAGGGTCTCAATGATGAGGGGACTGAGGGTATCTATATGTCACTGGTCATGGAAAATGTACAGCCACCTAGACTATGACAGTCTTACAAACTGATCGTGGTGCTTCATGTGACACTCTGATTTATGCTAAATATATAGGTAGATTATATGAAAAGGATGGAAACATGTATGTTTTTAGAATAAGAGTGCAAGACAGCTTTCTGTCTTGCCACTAGCAAGAAGTTTTTTCAGGATGATGATACCTATTCAGAAATATATCCACATATCTGATATGAATCACGTTGAATTGGCTTTGTATTTGGTCCTGAAGAGCTTCTTAGATTAAAACAGTAGAGCGTTTTGTCTCATACATCTGAATGTCAGAAATCATTCCAGGATGGTGCTCTCTGTCTAATGACTATGGAACGTTTATGCTCACTTAGATCTCTTTGTAGATGCAAGGATTCATTGTGTAGCTGCAGTAATCAACTCTCAGTTTTTGTGTGCCTGCCCCTGTATTTCTTTTTGTCTGTGTGTTTGTATCTCTCTCTCTCTCTCTCTCTCTCTCTC